ACAAAGACGTTTTATACAAAATTAGAGCGGATAACATTTGCATTACAATTGATTATATACTTTTTATAGATATCTTATTATATTATAGATTATTCCGAGATATCCGTCCTCAATTATCGCTAATATGGAAAAAAAGTGTTATCTCCTGTTTTTACTGTATTTGAATAGCTAACTCTTGATTGCTTAGTTATACGATTAAATCATGCGGAAGAAAGTTTTAAAAAATTATATTTCCTTTAAGAATATGTATTTTTTTACAAGTTTATCTTCAACGGTTCAAAAGTTAGATTAATTATAACTTTATTTGTCAATTCCGAGAGTTTGCAGAAAAACTAATTTTATAATAAACGCTATTGTATGTATGTATGTGTATATGTACTTAGAGATTTAGATGTAAAGAGTTAGTAAACGAATAATTTTTACTAATGCATTTCATAGTTTTTTTTTTTTTTTTTTTTTTTTTTGTGGTACCACTAGCGGATCCAGGCGGGGGGCGCCCCCCCCTCCTTTGAAAGCTGGAAAAAAACAACAACCAAAAACCAGCTATTTAAAGAAAAGGAAAATATAGGGAAAATTCATCCTCATAGACGATGAATATCCTAATGAAATATAAACAAAAAAATATTATCGTGACCAACACTAGCGAATTCTACCGGGGGCGCCCTCTCATGGATGGGGAAAAAATTCCGAAAAAGTGACAAAAACACCTATTTAATGGAAATAGAAATGTAGGGAAAATTCATTCTCATACACGAATTTCCTAATGTAATACACAAAAAATCTATTGTGACCAGCACTAGCGAATTCTGCCAGGGGTCCTCCCTTAGATGGTGGGAAAAACTCCGAAAAAAAGTGACAAAATACCTCTTTAAACAAAAGAGAGTTATAGGGAAAATTCATTATCATTCACAAATTTCCTGATGTAATAAAAAAAATATATATTATAACCGTGACCAGCACTGGCAAATTCTGCCAGGGGGCTCTTCGATGGTGGAATTTGAAAAAAAAAACAACACCTATTTAAAGAAAAGAGAAATATAGAGGAAAAATTCATCTCATCCTCTATGACAAATTTTCTGTGATATAAAAAAATGATTATCGTGACCAGCACTGGCGGATCCAACTGGGGACGCACCTCTCTCCCTGGATGGTTGGGGAAAATGTAATATAAAAAAAATGTTATTATCGTGACCAGCACTAGTAATTTCTGCCAGAAGGAGCGCTCCTCTCTGGATTGTAGAAAAATAATTCCGAAAAAAGTAACCGAAAAATAGCTATTTAAAGAATAAACAAATATAGGAAAAATCATCCTTTAAGACAAATTTTCTAATGTGATTAATATCATCATCCTGAGCTCGAAAATCGATTACTGGATCTTGGCTGCCTCAAGAGTTTTCCTCCATGTTTCCCTATCCTGAGCAGCCTCCACCAGTTCCTGATTCCATGGATTCTGGCATCAGCACTTACTCCATTTTCCATCTCAGTTTCTGTCTATCCACTTTCCTTTTTTCAACCGGCTCCATTCTCAGAAGCTTCTTTGGGATTGAGGTCTCGTCCATCCGTACAACTTGACCCTTCGATCTCAGCCTTGCTACCCGGATATATTTCACCACATTCGGCTCCCTATATAATTTAGCTAGTTCTTGGTTGCGTCTAATTCTCCATTCACCAATCTCCTTAACTGGACCAAATATCCTTCGAAGGACCTTCCTTTCAAAAACTAATATTTTAAACATCTGTTTAATCATCCTAATAGACAAATTTTCTAATGTATTATATAAAAAAGAAATATCGTGACGAGCACTAGAATGCTGCAAGGGGGCGGCGACCCTCTCCCTGGATGGTGGACAAAAAATTCAGAAAAAGTTCAAAAACCAGCTATTAAAAAAAAAAATAATGTAGTTTTTGGCCGCCGTGAGATGCGAAGGCTTCTGTCCCTGTCGTAGTTTGTTCCTATTGACTCCGAATTGAAATACATCTCGCCGGTGAAATACATGATGAAGGAAAATTTATTTTAAAAAATATGAATGTCATTTATTCTTTCGAACAATCTTTTATTCAAGCACAAGAAAATACGGGTTTTCTCCCGGACCCAATTTTTATTCAGTTCCAATAGATTTGGATTTATTGCAACTATAGTCTCCTTGAAGAATCCATGTGATTCATAATACTGGTCACGATAATAATTTGTACATTTCTTATTAGAAAGTGTTGTTCTTTTTTTCAAATAGCTGCTGTTGGGAACGTTTTCATGAGGCAAGATACTAATTATTTGGTCTCCGATTTGATCGGAATCTGATTATAATCGAAATCAGAAATTCTGAGTTTTTGTTCTAAGAGAACTCATTTCACTGATCAACCTGGATTTCTTACACCATTTGATCAGTGACCTTCAAACATTTTCCCCAGGGAGGTATCTCTATCATTAAACCAATCAATTTAATAATGATTTAGTTCCTGACATAGTGCGCAGTTAATGCATATGTTAATAGTAAGTTCATTACTTAAAGCTATCGGTGCATGGTTAAAATGAAAAACATGTTTTAAGATCCCCTGAGTCCAAACAAGTGTTTTCTCGACACTGAGAGTCCAATAGAACTACTTTTAGAGTTCCTTTTATCACCCCTATAGAAATACAATGACTATATATCATAAAATGTTTTTAAAAAAATTATAACATATGCAATAAGTTACTAAATAAAAACATGTAAAACTACAACCCATTAAAGGTCTTGGGTGCAGTACTATGTTAGAAGTACTGTTACAAGGCCAGGTTGTGCAGGAAGGTGACGGGCCAATATCACGCTCAACCACCAGATTTTCCCCTTAATTATTTTTTAAATTAAGGGTACCCACTTTATAGAGGCTGGGTGTGCTCCAGGAGGGTCTCCCAATCCCAGGGTCGATCCAGGGCTAATGAAAAATTACTAGTCATTAGCCGGATTCAAACCTAGGACCTTGAGCTCTGGAAGTCAGTGCTCACCCACTGAACAACCTCGCTCCCCAATAAGTTACCTATAGGAGAGTAAACTATGTCACCTCAAGGTGACACATCTGAAAGGAGCCTTAAATAGAGCAGCAATGGAGGAGCTCGGTGAAAAACCTAGACCTGCTAGAAACAACTAGCTCGTTGAAGAATAACTCAAAGCAAGGAATGAGGCAAGGCCTACGATGGAATGATTCAGCCTCGCACCAGAAGTACAGCCAAGGAGTTTAGTAGTGACAAGAGGAAGGAACAAAAGAAGACCTGCAGGCAGAAGTAAAGAATCTGGGAAAGGAAAAAGCTGAAAAGATATCCAGGAGAAATTCAAAGACCATAATTTCATAGGTTTCTTAGTTAAACTACAGTTACACCCGAGTTAGTTCTTAAAATATGAAAAACCAGATTGTCTAAATTTTGGTGTATAAGGGACATCAAAGCTCCATCCAAGATATAAGAGGTGACTATGATTCAGCCAGAGTTTAAAAGAATTAAAAAAACAAAAAAACAATCACACCATTGAAGACAACTGGCAGGCTGGAAATAGGTGGAAATTCTATTTTGAGATCACGAAAAAAGTGAATGAGAAGAAAATATGGTAAACTGGATGAATTAAAATAAAATACACTAAGAATCTGGAAAGAGCATTTGCAGCAGCTTCTCAACAAAGAGAAATCCACAAACTGAGAAGACATGAACCATGCTAAGGATTTTGATCTGCAAGAGGTCAATATTTTGGAAGTGGAAATAGCTACCATTATAAACAAATATCTCAAGGATGGATAGCTTACCATCAGAGCAGTTTAAATGTGTTAAAGAACACCTAAGATCCAAACTATTACAACTAACCCTATGGCAGGAGGAAAGGATTCCAGAAGCTTGAAACATGGGTCTAATGTGTCCCATAATTAAAAAGTACTTTAAATGTATGGTAATTACAGAGGCAAATTATTCCTTCCGGTTGCCATAGATAAACTATAAAAATATATTAGGCAACCATCAAGCAAGATTCAGACAAAAAAAAGGAAGAAGCTGTTTCACAGGTGCTTGCATAACGATTAGAAGGAGCTCAAGATGTGCATGGCTCAGGAAGATCATGACAGAGCTCGGAATTCTTGAGAAATTGGTGGGATTGACGAAGGTTTATCCAAATGTGGAATTCTGATACAGTGAGATTAACTGTCACCAATGCTTTTTAACATAGCCAAGGAAAATGTGAAAAGAACATCACGTGAAGATAGACAGGCACACATAAGGGATGAATGAATCATAAAATCGTAGAATAGTTGCTATAGATTATTATCTTTGAATATAAATGAAAATTTAAATAATAGGAATATTCAGGGAAAAGTAAAATACTTATCTACTTTTCGGCACTAGCCTAGTTAGCTAGTTTATGTTTCATATTTTCTTAATTGATTTTAGTTTACATATTTTATTCATTCAAGTAGATTGTTTATTTTATTTTTTTAATTATTAGAGGGACAAAATGATATTCTCGCCCCTCTCTTCTTTATTATTATTATTAATTGTGGACTGATGGTTGAGTGTAGTGAATAATTGAAGAGAAAAATGGTTGGGGTGATCAGTAAAAAAAAAAATAAGTAAAAATAAATAAGTATATTAATTTTTATTTTTGCCAACGTTTCGGCCCAAAGTTCAGACCTTCATTAGGGCTGGTCGAACGAAAGAATTCCACAAGACCAACGTCAGATCGACCTGTACTACAACCTGTGACCAAGATGTTGCTAGGTGATGTAGGCCTGAACTTTAGGGCAAAACATCTGCAAAAATAAATATATTTTTTTATTTTTACTTTTTTTTTGTATCTGATCACCCCAAGTATTCTTCTCTTCTATTATTATTATTAGTTATCATGTTAGTGTGCATTAATGATGCTGATATCTTACCTTTTTATTTATTATAAAGCTGTTGTTTTTTACCACTCATAGTTATATCCTTAAATTCTTTTTTTTTATTGATTGAGGGAATTGTTATAATTATTTCATTTATTTTTCAGATATCTGATATAGTGGTTGGTGAAGAACCCAATGTTTCTGCAAAAGATGTTCTGCTTAGGTGGGCAAAAAAATCGACTGCCAAGTATCCAGGTGTCAAAGTCAGTGATTTCACTTCTTCTTGGAGAGATGGCTTGGCATTTAATGCCATCATCCATAGAAACAGGTTTGCCACTTTCTGATTTTAAAACTAGAGAATAGATGAAATAAAATATTTCATTTACTAAGATATGTTTAATAACTATTTAAAGGTAGGTTAAATGTTATATTATAATTGGAAAAATCTAAGAACACAGCCTTGTATCTCTAAAGTGCAGGTAATAAACAAACTAACCTGCAAACATTTTGCTGGTTCAGGCTTTCTCAGGACAGAAAAAGCAAGATCACATCACACCATAACATCCATCATATGATTCATACAAAATATATGAAGTTTAATTAATACAGGGTTGTGCATGAGTTTTGCAAGGATAAGGTCTGAGCTCAACCAATAAACTAAACTGATATTAGTAATTACCATACCAGCCAATTTTTAGTTTTTCAAGCAATGAATTTAAAATGATATAATAAACAAACTTTTTTATAAACAGTTTTTCCTAGGAAGGGCTGAATCATGTTCTCATTATAAACCAATGTCATGCGTTTTTTCTTATTTCTCATCTTGTTAAAGAACATGTTTTTTTTAATTAATAAAAGTTATTCCGTGTATAAATAATTTCTTTAATTATAATTATTATTGATGTTTTTACTTAAATATAAATTTTTATGAAACTTAGTTTAGTTATAGTATTATCATCATTTTTGGCACTATAACCCACGTGGAGTCAAGACCTCCTTTAACATCAGTCGCCAGTTATTCTTGTTCTGAACAGCTGATTTCCAGTCTCTTAAGATTGATCTTGTTCCGAATATTTTTTTTTTTTTGGCGGCATGAGTGCACTGCAGTCATGTAGGCCTTATTTAAAGTCACTTATTTTAGAGTGTAATTCCTGCAGTCTCAATGAACTGTAATAAGCTTGTTGGATTGATAAGCTTGTTTGCCTTGGGATCCTTCTCCCTGTCAATGGCGAATAAACAAAATCTTAAGCCTGCAAACCTATCGCACCAGCAAGTAACATGATATGCTGTCTCATTCTCCCGGCCACAGTACCTACAAAGAGACGACTCCGTAAGCTGGAGTTTGAACATATGATAATTCAGTTTACAGTGCCCTGTGTAAGCTGCTGTGATTTTCTTAAGTGAGCTCCTGCTCAGATTTATTAGTAAGTTAGTTGTTTTTTGATAGATTCCTTCCAGAAACAGTCTAGAGCGGGTCAGTTTTTTCAAGCTCCAGTTCTTTTTGTTTTCAGCACCATATATCTACCAAATTCTGTTTGTTGTCAGAGACTGACTAATACCACAGATGGGCTCAGGAGATATGGGTGTCATTTGTGAACCTTGTCTAGCTAGTTCATACGCCATCTCATTACCATGAATTCCAGAGTGGCCCGGAACCCATTCAATGTTTATCTTATTAAGTCTGGATAAGTCGTTGAGAATTCTAACACAATCCCCAATTGCCTCATATCTAGTTGTATAGTTGTCTAGTGCTCGTATGGCTGCTTGACTGTCAGTATATATTGCGATTCTCCTCCCAACTAATCCGTCAAGGGCCTACGTTATATTGATGACCTCTGATCTTAATCTGATAGTTTATTAAAGAAGGTAGGTTTATTGCCCCTATTTAGTATCTGTAAGTTATCACTAATAAAATATCCAGTAATATCTCACCTCTAAAGGTTGTTCTTGTGGCCCCATATGACGTTGTGGGCATTGGCGTCCAGTCCCATCAGGGTTTTTTCATTGCTGGAATTGAGAATTTCTTCCATGCCTTGTGCAGGGACTCGCGACTCATATGGTAGGTAACCCGCCACTATGGTCAGTACGCTTTGGCTCTTGGTGAAGTAAATTTGGCTGCTGCCCAGTCCCTTGATCAAAATTGCCAAAGAGGCAGTAGTTTTAGTGATTTTTTTATATAGAATACAGGCCCTGGGGTTGGTGGCAACAGAAATAATTCCATAACCATTGATTCCCAACCCCCTGATCCTGTTATTACTTAAATAAGGTTCTTGGATTAATATTATATCAATATCCTCATCTTTTATGTAATATAGGAGCACCCCAATAGCAGCGATGCAGTGGTGTAGGTTTATTTGCAGCAGCCTCATCTAAGTTTCTTAATTAGTAGACATATTGGACGAATTCCCGGGTGGAGGCCGTGGCAGGCTTTCACCCTTAGACCCAGCCTTAACTGAGTCTTTGGGATCAGTCCCTCCTCTGGTCTCCTCCAGTGCCCATTGTCCAAACGAAGAATCTTCCTCAGAAGAAAAAGTCCGTCCAGTCCAGTCTGTACGTCTTGTCGTTAGAGTTTTTTTTTTTTAAATTTGTGTCCTGCATCTTGTTACCACGAGTATGGGGGAAAACAGGCCGTAGGTACTGCCCCCTCTCTCTCTACAGCCGGCTATTATGAAATGGGGGGTCGCCTGGTGCCCCAAGTGGGTCGATAAGAGACAATATATTTTTACCCACCCCTGCCACTCAGCCTCAGCTCGAGCACCCGTACCTAGCTTGAGTGCCTACCAGGTTCACATATATATGGATGGAAGCGATGAACCCCGCCTCTGTCGTCTGCGAGTCCTAGCGGACTCCGTGGGGGGCACCATATGGAGGTGACAGTAGGCGTTGATAGGGATAAGGAGATTTGGGAACTCACTTGCAGTGGGTAGGGCACTGATGCTGGATCTGGATCGTTCTGCAAAGAGTGAGGGAGACTCCCACACCCATCTCCCTCTCTAGACCTCCCGTTGGCCACAGTGAGGTAATTGTCCGAATCTATATTTGCTCCTCTGTACACCCTTACATCCATTAAGCTTGATAAATGCCGAGCACTAATCTTCGCATTGTAAATTTTTTTTATTGTACTATCACTAGAATGCCATGTGGCTGAATGTATTCTTTTATGGGGGAACATAGTACTTCCAATAGTGATTTAGTTCATTAAACTCAGAGAAATTTACTAGCCTTTGACAGTTATGGTTTGTGGTGTTTTGTATGCTTTGTGTTCTATACGTTTCTTCTAGAGATGGGAAATTCAATTCTTTTAACTGAAATGATTCAAAACTATTCAATCATTGTGATGAACGATTCTTGGATTGATTCTTTTCATCTTTTTTTTTTTTAAATAAAAAAATCTTTTTATTGAAAAAAACAACAATAACAAATATTCTTAACCTTATGGTTATTCAGGCAAAAACTTTTTTGTTTTTTTAACTGATTGAAATTAAAATTCCTGGTTCAAATATATACAAATAAAGCGTTATGAACCTTATAAGTAGGAAAGAAGTTTAAATAGGACAGTATTTTTTTTTTTAAATCGTATATACTGGATTTTTGTCTGTGTATATAAATTGATAATGAAATGAAAAGTAATTTTACTATCCTGGGATTTTATGCCTCATCAGAGCAAATTATAAATAAAAAAAGACAGTATGGCCAAACATTAAATTAAATATTTACAAAATAATATGTAATTAAAAATATAAGTACAAGAGAGAAAACATAAAGAAATAAACAAAATAATAATGTAATTAAGCATGGGTTATAAATGCCCGAAGTGGTAAATGATTATGGAAGAGAAGATTCTGGAAATAAACAAAACAAACAATGAAACAGGACTGGAAGATTTCCTTGAACAAACCTGGTGAGATGCAGTGAAGAACTGAGAGTGTTCTAGTGGCATCAGCGAGAATTCACTCGAAACCTCACTCCCACATTTTTGATTCTCAATAATAGGAAATTGACCGATTCCAAGTGAATATGTGAATCGACCGATTCCATGTGGATAGGTAAATTGACTGATTTCGAGTAAATCTACAGTTCTCATGTTACACGAGTGAATCTTGATTCTTTTGTGTGAATCACTTGAGAGTATGATTCTTTAAGATCAAAGATTCTTGATTCACCTGCCCATCTCTAGTTTGTTTCTTGCCAATCTCTGCATTAAAGTCTTCTGTCAAGACTTTTTTGTCAAGTGTTTCTACGGTATTATAGAAGGCATCTTTATCCTCATCTTTCAAAGGCTAGGTGGGAGCATGTGCACTTGTGACATTATAATTGTAAAATCTGCCTTTCATTCTGAGAAAACTAATTCTTGAGTCAACTGATGATTTAAAGTCAATAATCAGCTGGAACATTCTCTTGCTAACAATAAAGCCAGTTCCAAAGGTGTGGTTCTTATCGCCACAACTCTAATCACGGGGGGGCGGGGGGGGGGAGGCTTTTGGACTGAAGCCCACCCAAAATGGTAAAATATAGCCATGTTTTATCGAAAAAAAAAATATTTAAAAAGTATCTCTTAAAGTATTATTGTTTGTGTAATTGCATTTAAAGGGGCTTTAGGAATCACTTAAACACCATTTCATACAGGTAGTTAGTTTCTTTCTTTTTTTCCAAAGTAATTATCGTTATTTTTTTTTTAAAAACAGCTTTCAGGCTGAAGCCCCCAAAATTAAATCCTGGATCCGCTAGTGACTCTAGTAAATTGTGTGTCCCTTTTTGCTAAACATTCCTTTATTGGTTCATCTTATTTCCTGGATTGTGGCTATGTCAACTTGATAGAAGTCCAGTTTAGTTATGAGTCTTTGCAGGGTGCCCGGTCTATACAGGATGTCTCAGTTCTTAATGGCCAAACTCTTGGAGGGTGATTCTAGACATTTCAACAAAAAAGTTCATTTGATGCATGGTCTGAACAGAAAAGGGGTTAAGATCAATTTTCTGTTTTTTTTAAGGTGTCACGGTTTTTGTTGAATAAGTAGGAATTGCTCAAAAACTGTTCAACATAATTAAATTCTAAGTGCACCATTGTACTGTATACACATTTTTTTTTTTTTGTGATTAAATTTACTATTAATGTCAATGATAAAAAGAACTTTCAGAATATTATACTGCAGCTACAGTACCTATACACGAGCAGCATATCTCTGTAATCCCAGTTTGGTAGGCTTTGCGTTATTAGACCTCGTGAAAGTTCCTTATATCATTCATTGACCTTAGTAAATTTAATCACTGTTTTCTCAAAGAAAATTTTATCTACTTTTCGATAGTGTACTTGGAATTTAATTATCTTTAAAAAATCTGGTGCTGTGCGCGCATCACACAACTTTCACTTTCCACCATATTCTTAGCAGAAATACGTATTTTCACACAAATCAAAGTGAAAGAGCAAGTTATAGACGGTATGAGACATTATTTAAAACAATTAGTTACCATATTTTTCATAGCTGTCTAATGTATTATATTTATTTTGTTTAACTCTAGCTATTCCCTTTTACAATTGTATATTTCAATTATTTATTTGATCATAACAAATAATTAAGTGCCACGGAATATTTTTAGTCCAACAAGAGTGCCACTGATAAAGAAGGCTGCTATATTTATTTATATTTCATTGTGGGTATTTTTACTTGTATATATTAAGCTCATATTACATATGGAAGCCTGTTCTAATCTTTTGGGTGAACTCAGGTACGCTCGTATTCCTTCGTTCCCTCTATTACAACTATTCTTCCTTACGATCTCTTATTTCTCCTTTAGTTAATAATTACATTTTTTTAATATTTCATATTTAACGATTTTTATATCAGAATTAATTGTAAAATGGTTTATTATTTCAACTAAAAAATATTAAAGGTACTTCAGAGGAAGGATTATTGAAAATTAGCCATCTAAGCCCTATTAGAGAACATCAATGAGAATAAAACCTACATTATATTACAAACTGCTTAATTTAACTCTGTTATAATTTTTTTTAACGCCTCTTGACTCTTTGACTTCCGCCATTAGTCTTCTCACAGTATTGAGGCTGTTCTAGACAATAAGCTGTAATCGTTAGGTTCTCTTCCTATGTAAATCCAGGGAGCAGGTAGTTTATAATAACCGGATGCGATCACAATCACTCCCTCTTCATCAGGATGTTTGGCAACCTTTTGCAAACGTCACTATCCTATTGTTTTTTTACGGGATAGGGTTATTAGCCCTGTGCCCAACCAAAACATCTGGAGGACCAAAGGAGCTATGTTATTAGACACAGGGGTCGCTCTCACCATCCTGTGAATCTCAGGATATGGGAATCAAGCCCGCGCTATAGTGGTCTAAGCAATCGAGTAAGGACTGCACTTATTTATTTATTATTAATTATTTATATATATTTTTTTTGTTATTTAATCCCGCTGTTAACGCCCGCATACACTCATTTCTTTATTTTTTATTGTTATTTTGTCTCACCATTTTTACCCTTTTTGAATGTAAATGGAATAAATGTTTATTTTTATTTTTATTTTTTTTGTAATAGGCCAAGGGACAATTGTCCCAGAAATGTGTATTGTTTATAGAATAGAATAGAATAGAAAAATAATTTTATTCTGGGACACAGTCCCTTGAGAATAACAAAATAGAACAAAATAAAAAAATTACATCTGGCCAAAATAAAATCAATCGAAAAAAATAAATAATGTAAAGAAAATATAAGGTAAACATTCTATCTACAAAACAAACGAAACTATATACAAAACAATTAATACTATGACAAGACACTTAAAGCTATTTGCACTGATAGATCAGTATACACTCTTAAGAAAATAATAAAGAATTAAAAAATAAAAATATATCAAATTCTCTATTAAAATCAGCTCGAATGGTTAGCAACTATCTGACTATTTTTGGGATAGGAGTTGGAATAGAAGAGTTTTGAATGTGGAATGTCAAATTTTGATAGGGAGGGAATTCCAGGAATGGACAGAGCAAACAATAAAGGAATTTTGGAATGAATAAAGGAATACTTTATATATTTAGTTTCATTTGTGATATATTATCGCATTTGTATATGCTCCAGCCCGGCAGTAACACTCAGTCTTAGGGTTTAAGACACCAAAATACTGTGAATAGACTGCCGGGAGGTCAGTATGGAGCGAGCTTCCGTTTATGTTGGGTCCATTTATATCCGTTTATGGGTAGACATTTACCCCCACCTCAGCTTACCTGGCACCAGCCTAGCGCCATTTTCAAACAACAGCTGTTTGGTGCGTCGACAGTCATCGATAGAGATTGATAGGCCTATCGAATCGATACTTCCCCACCATCGACTCGCTACTTCCCCACCATCAACTGTGCAACATCGTATCCAGGTAACCTCGTTATAAGCAGAACCTCCAACTTGGCTCGCTATTTTATTCTCCACCCTCTCCGAAAGACATTTAAACATTAATTTGGTTTTGTTCTCTTCAAGTTATTTTTTTTTTCTCTTGATTTAATCATTATTATAGAATTTTATTTTATTTATATTCTGTTTTTGATGGACAATTTGTTTTTATTTTCACTGAATATTATATTTTATGTTTGGTTTATTTCAATACATTTTAATACTCTTTTTTTATTTGTTTGTTTTGAATCTTATATGTATATATTTTTATTTCAATATAATAAATATTGTGAACATTCAAAAAAGGGGATTATTATTTTCCATTTTTACTGACTGAATATTTTTATTTTATATTATTTGTTGTGCATGCATTTTTTTTTCATGTTTTACAGGTCTCCTTCTCATTAATTTTTTTCCCTTCTTTCCCACCATTTAATCTTGCTCGAATTTTCTCCACCTTTGAGGAAACTCACCGGGGAAAGGTTCGTATTTTCGATTTTGAAATACTACTGGCCCCAACACCCACGAACGGGATTTAAACTCGTACCATAAAATTTTTCCAGACATCTTAATTCACTCAACCACCGTGGCCCTGTTTTAATTAATTTAATCAAAACCATGAGAGCCGTTTTCGAGAAAATTGTAAAAATATGCAAAATCGATTACATAAAGTGTTAGCCGCTAACGACTGGTTAGCCGCTTTTGACTAAAAAGTTGCTATAACATCCGAGTATACAAACCTAAATATGCAATTTCACTTTCATATGACTTTTTGTTTTTGAGCTGGACTGTTCAAATACATACACACACAGACTGTGTATAAAGCAGACCCTACACGGTAATTCATGAATGAACGTCACAAGAAGTGCCAAGATTGCCCACGATCACTTTGATCATGAAGACCCTTACACGTTCAATCATTACTTATCGTTGCTGAAACCAATTTAGTTCAGTTGTAAACAAAGAAACAGCATAGATATGCTTATTTGGAAATTGTCATTTATAATATTGGGCATCAAGAGAAACACGGAGATATAATAATTACTTCCTAGTGCCTGAAAATCGTTTAGACCAAAGTTAGAAAAATATAAGTCAACTACATACAAAAATCTAGGAAAAGTATTGCGAAAATAATCAATTTGTTAAGAAAAATGGAAAAATTAATGACAAATAAACACAACAGTTAAAGATTTTTTTTCTATAAGTAAATTGTGAAGTTTCCACTTTTTTTTCTCTTCAATTTATTTATTTAAAGAAAAAATAGTTGAAAATGGTTAATAATAATATAGACTAGGGATATAAACAACTATTTACTTTATAACGAGACCTAGGTAAACTAACCTATCTAGTAGTAGTCTCATAGAAGGTTAGTCTCATAGAAAATCGTTTTGACAAAAGTTAGTAAAATTTAAGTCTACTACTTACAAAAATTAAGGAAAGGTATTGCGAAAATAATAAATTTGTTGAGGAAAATGGGAAAAGAACTGATAAATATACACAACGTTAATGTTTTTTTTTTTTTCTTAAAGTAAATTGTGAAGTTTCCTCATTTTTTTTTTTTTTAATTTGTTGCCCACTTGACTATTTAAAAGAAATAGTTGAAGATGGTTTAAAATTATAAACAAGGGATATGAAAAATTATTTAACTATTTACATATAATGAAAATCAGAAATTTATAATGGTTGTGAGAACTAGGTAACCTAACCTATCCAGCAGTATGGTTAGTCTCCCCACTACTTTTACCTCACTCCTCCCTCCACTTCTCGTGAATGAACCTTTGATTTCTGGATGTTCGGAAATCCGCAGCGCACCACCATCAGTACTTCATTCACTACCTTACAATTCGGAACGTCATTAGTGCTAGTGCAATTCCAATTGACCGTATAGCGTCCCCTTAATAATGTACTGTGGGTGATCTTGGTTTGTAGTGTTGGGGTAATATAGATGTGAGAGTGTCAATGTACTGTTCCCCAAACCTGGATGGCCAGTGGCTACCTACAATGATTTGGTGATGGGGCCGCAAACTCCTTATACCACATTAATTATAGTATCACTTCCTAAAATGAATGAAAAAGTTATAATAATAAGTATCTGAATGAATTCATTCTATTAAATATATATTTTTTTCTATTATATTTCTAGACCTGATCTTTTACCTGAATGGAGGGAAATCCGAAGGAGGACTGTCAGAGAGAGACTTGAAACTGCATTCTACACTGCTGAAAAGGTTGGAGTTACTAGGCTCCTGGATCCTGAAGGTTTGTTCTTTTTAAATCATTATTGTTTTGATATCGGAACTATTGCCAGAATATAAATACTATGAGCATTTTAACTTCTATTATTAGCAATAGTAATATATGTAGAAACTATTTTTTATTTTTCAAATGGAAAAACTAAAAGTTCAGGGAGCCTGATGATTGATAAGTGTCAAAAAAAAATTTGTGTAAATTTTCAGTTCAAGCGTGAGATTTGCCAAAAATAGAATCATAAATTTGTTGGAAAAAGATAAAAATAATAACTGATTCAGATTGAAACTGTGGTTTGGAATGGTTAATAATAGAAAATTTTATGAGATAAACATTATTTTCATAACATGTAGACCACTTGGGAGTTACAAAGTGTCCGATTCCTTTTCTATTCCGGATGTTCAGTGTTTACAACTAAAATATTTATAATTAAAATATTGGATGAGTCAACAAGCTCATCCATTCTCAATTTTCCGTTCCTTGGATGTTACTTGATCAGTCATAGTATGATAATACTGTGTAATAAAATACTTTTGGTACCACACATTGCGCAATGTAATATCATGAGGGATGGTTGATGCAACCTTTTCTACTATCCGAAATGCTACTTTTTTTATAGCTTAATGTTCAACATATCTATGGCTTGCTTTAAAGTTTATTTGTTCTTTTTCGCTCTATGAGAATTTCAAGTATTCTCATTTTCTATTTCTTCATCTTAAAATTTACAAAGCTATAAGTGATAGTCGAAAACTGAAGCTCAAACAGTATTCAAGGCCTTCGAAAATTCTCAGAGAAGTAGTATTGTGATTTTCTGTTTATCTATGGAGTATTGAAGGTCTTGAATAATTTTCAGCTTGATATAGATAATATGAAACTTGTGAATCGGAGAAGAGAGCTCCGAATAACTCAAGGAAGTTAATAACCTGTAAATAGATTTGTCTTTTGGGTATTTTTGACTTGCCAGGGAATGAAGATATAGGTCAAAAGTTAGAAACTGAGGAGGGAGTGGGAACTGTATTCAGTGGATAAACTACAACTTTTTTTTATGCTTAAGAATATGGAATTTCAAAAGGGGATATTGTAAATATGCATTGATGGCATAAAGAGTTTGATAATATTTTAGGAAATGTATTCCGGACGTAGTCATTAGTTCTGGACTTCAGAACAGAGGAGAGTAAATCTATGGTTAGTCAGATCTTGATGAATGAAATATAGTTAAAATAGAGAATGAATCAGAGAGAAAATGTGGTTTGAGTCAAGTTGTTGAGATGGAATATATGGGATTAAAGGTGTATATTTCAGTAGGAGATATTATGAAAGAACGCATCAAAATGTTTCCATTCCAACTCAAGATTGGATGTTAATGTGGCAGAACAATATGTTTACATTATTTTTTATGTGGGAAGCTATGGCTTTTGCATTGTTACTCTTAAAATTTGCCACTCTTAAAAAATATCCATCTCAGACAAAAACCTAGCTTGGCTGCATAAATCCATCACTGTCTATACAGCACTGTATTTTGGTCAATGACAGACCTGAAACCATTGTTTTGTATCAATCTGCTGAAAAATGATTTCTTCTTCCAATATTGTTATAAATGGCGAAAGGAACTCTTCTAGAACATTTTGATAACTAATAGCATTCATTTTGCCGGAAATTAATACAATTTGAGACTTTCTCTTTTAATCAAAACAGGCCATACCATTATTTCACCACCCTAATGCAACCTTCGTGACCATTTTTTGTTCTTTTCTAAGATCATGTCAGTAGTTTTCGAGCTGTGATTTTCTTATAACTATACAATATTTTAAGAACTTTAATTCAGCTATCCACTTCCACTCACAATCTGTGCTGAGGATGCTCCTGTTTTTGATATTTTTCTCAAAACGCCCCATAATTGTCCGGGCCGCAATTTAAGAAGTATTTGGCTTCTCATTGGGAGGGGTTTAGCTCGTGAACTATTCACCTCTGCGTCATCCACCTCTTCTTAGGTCCATTATCCTTTGCTGCTCAATTTCAGTGATTTGAGTTCCACACAGCGTTATTTAAAATAAAAGACTGATTCACACAAAGCCATACTTTATTAAAAACAAAATCATATACTCTCTGTTTAACAGTAGGAATATAATTGAGGTGGTATTAATCCATTAATACACCTGACAATTGAAAACAAATATTGACTTTATACTTATTCACAGCATAAACAAGATTTGTTTACTAAATCTGATTTTTGTAAATTAACAAACAGATCAGTGGGCATTTAAAACTTCTTACCAATCTAATAATATAAAAGCAAGTCTAAAAAGAATATTGTGCTATGAATTCACATTTAAATTTTATAAATATTTTAATTTTATAAATTGAGTTTATATTTTTTCACAGGACTGTAGTTCTGTAGACATAGTTTGTTCATGGTAACAGCATCACCCTTCTGGATATGCAAAATCCAATTACTTTTTAATAATGATAATTTAATAACTTCAATATTTAGGGAATAATTTAATATATAAAAATTAAATATTTGTAGTTCAAAGAAATACAAAAACACTTCCCGAATCAGTAACCCTGAAATGAGTACCTGACATAATAATCAGAACATAGATAATTAAGTGGTTGGAACCCAGTGTTGACCGGCAATATAAGGTATTGCTTGAATCAGACACCATTGCCTGGGTTTGGTACTTAAATCCTCTATAGACTGTCATGGGAATGATTTATTTTATTATAATCAGTTTGCTGTTTTAAACTCAATATATATATGTCTGTTTGTCAACTTAATTAGAATATAATATAAATTTTAATATTATGTTATTGTTTTTTTGGAAATTATGGACTTAATCATTAATATTATTTGGCTTTTCACACTAATATTTATTAATTATGTATATTTATATCTTTAGTAAGATTCAAATTTATTTCAGATGTGGATACCCATGAAATTGATGAGAAATCCATTATTACGTATATTTCATCAATGTATGATGTTTTTCCTGAACCTCCGTTTGCACATCCACTTTATGACAATGTAAGCATTCATTATACTTTATTATTATTGTTTATAATATTAATTATTAATTATTTTTATTTTTTTAATTTATCTAGGAAGCACAGGCTCTCACAAGTGAGTACCGAGAAGTGGCCTCGTCTCTACACCTTTGGATTCGAGAAAAAGTATCTGAGATGTCTCAGGACCTTCCCTCTAGCTATGATGAACTTAGACGCTTAGCTCATGATTCAGCAAAATTCAGAAGTGAAGAAGTGCCAGCAAGATTAAGGGATCGGCAAAAACTTAGCTCTCTGTATAGGGATTTACAAAAATTATATGAATCAACTGGTGAAGTTGAGATTGAACCGGAGCTTCACATAGATGTTCTAGAAAAGAATTGGTCAAAGCTTCAGTCTTTGCATCAGGAACGTGATCATGCCATCCAAGAAGAACTCAAAAAGTATATAATACCAGTTATCTATTTCCTAGTTAAATTAATAGCATTTTATTTTTAAATTCATTTGATGCTGACATTTAATAAGTTTTTGAACAGTACCACAGTACTCTGGCGAATGATATCATTTTTGTTTAGGTTAGATAGGTTACAAAGATTAGCAGAAAAGGTCTCAAGGGATTGTAAACGTTTGGAACCCAGAATGGATGATCTAGAATCTAGAATTTCTGATGAAGCAAAGCGATTAGACCGATTACATCCACTAGATGCAAAACATGTAGTTGATTCAATAGAATCAGAACTAAGATCTATAGAAGAAAATATACAGTCTCTTTTTCAGGTATTTATTTATATTTTCATTTTTATATACAGGTTTTACTAGATAAAAAAAAAATCTTAAAGGGCTGATTTTACACCTCAATTGTGACAAGAAATTCTCTGTAAACCATCATCCAATTTTTATTAATTTTCATAAAAAATTTAACTAATTTTTTTTTATATCTCGATTTTTTTATATTAGAATCCTTCTATCAAGTGATCAGAAAGAAATACTTCCAAGTAAACAGTACTTCGTTCAAGAATACTCTCCATACTTCTCCACATTTTACAATAGGTCTCAAATTTATTTATCATTTCTTGTAATATTAGCTGCTTGTCTGATACGAGAATAATAGCATTGTTACCATCTATTAAAATTTCACCTGCAAACCATTTCACTAAATCATTAATAAAAATGGGGAAAATTAGCAGGCTTAGCTAGCAGTCTTTGCCTTAGGCCTATTTCTGCTTTGCACGATTCAGTGAAGTCCATACTTTAATATACATTGGGGTGTCATACACGCTTCATAAAATTTGTATACCTTTTGTTGGAAAATATATTTGATTTAACTGATAAAAAAGTGATTCTCGGAATATTTCATCGAAAGTTGCCTTAAAATCTTTAAATATTTCATTTTAATTCATTATCTCTACTATTTTTTGAAATAATTTGAATATATATTACAAAATTTGACTAATTGCATCTGGATACACTGATTCCTATAGATATTTGATCACTAGTTTAAAAACTGCATGCAAATAAAATATTCATGTCCAGAAAAATCCAGGTCTTGCTTGTTATTAGTAGAAGCTGTATTAAGTCTCCTATTGTGTAAAGGATAAACAAAAATTAAGTATGAAGTGACTTAAAAGTCCGTAGTTGGGTCAAACTCAAATATCCCTAGATTTAATCTGAGTATAATCGGTCTTAAATAATGATCAAAAAGATATCATAGATAGATTCTTAAGATATCATCATAGATTCTTAAGATGTCAGTGTGTTAATTTATTTTTTCCATAACTGGTTTCTCAATCCTCAACTAGTCCTTTTCTAGCTGTAACTTAAATGGTCTCATGGGGGATGGGTATCTTCCACTTATATGTCTGTTATGTTCTGTATGTATTTTTTTAACCTAATTACTTCTTTAGTTTTTCAAGGATATATGCTACTAATAACATTATTTAATTTTAGGAAAGGGTGTATTATTTATTTCTAATCAAACATACCTCAACATAAAATATAATATTGGGTTATCCGGAAAATAATGCAGGAGTTTGGTTTAAAATGAAAAAAGAAAGATTTACAACTGTTTTATTTAATCAAAATAGTCTCCACTACTATCAATACATTTCTGTCAACGTGTTGGCAACTTTTCCATTTCCCTGTAATATAATTTCCCATCTTTAGAATTGGTAAACTCCAAAAACCCCTTTTCTATTTACCTTCGTCCATTAATTTTTTTGTAACTTAAGTAGGCGAGAGGTGAATGTGGCTAAGTTTCATATTCAAGCTCGCAAGTTTTTGTGACGTCACATGTTGCAATAAAATGGGCCCTCTGATTGACCAAAGATTGCTTCATTATTGCCAATTTCTGATGCATTGAATTAATATTAATTTGGTTAAAATAAGATTCGGCATTGATGGTTTCTCCAGTGTGGGACAAAACTTTCAAGCTTTTTTTACCTTTCCAAACGTCTTGAGGTGGCCATCAATGGTTGCTTTGCTTAGGTTAAGTTTCTCTGTAAGTTCTCGAACAGTTGTTCTTGGGTTTTCTTCTTCCAAATTCACTAAGAGAGGAAATCATTCCACGTTCTTCTTTGTCTCCGAGGTTGAAGTCTCCCCGTCCTGAAATTTTTTAATCACTGTTGAACAGTGCACTCATTAATGCTGCTCTTCCCTTTTCTCCCCCTCCCCCTCCCACGGACTTGATTGATGTTACTGGCCGTCTGGGCTCCATTCCCAATTGTAAACAAAATTATACAAAAATCACTCATTGACACCTTAGTAAAGACTGAATTATTTCTAAGCAGTGAAATGCTACAGAGATAAACAAACATTATTGATTGGAAGGTGATTAATAAGTTTTGACATTCATACTAATGAATAATCCAGTTAACGTAGACAGTTTGTTATATAGAGGGTTATTTTAAAGAAAACTCAAAATTCTGCATTATTTTCCATACAACCCAATAATAACATTCTGCCAATTGATTTTTAAATGATCTTTGTAAATTCACTTTGTGCATTTCCTATATCACTATCGCATTATCATTCATTAGTGTAACGTTAAATAAAAAGTGGAAGGGCAATGGAAGGAGGAGAGAAGGCTCATTGGAATGTAGAAGGAATGAGAATATTAACTGTATGACAGTAAAATAAAAGATACTCTGTATTGTATTATTATGTATAGTGTATTAATTATTTTATTTCTTTGTGTTCTTTTAAATTTAAATTTTGATTGTTTTTTGTTTTAACTTCTTCAGGATCTGAGTTTAAGCTTTTTGTTCCAGGATGTATCTACCCTCAAATCTGGGGGGCACCATCAGTATCCTGAGTTGAATAAAAGGGTAGGAAGATTACACTCACGCTGGGTACAACTGCGAAGTGCCCTTCATTCAAAGCTGATTACTCGTCTTGCTTCCCTTTCATTCCCTGTTGTCGAGGAGAGAACTGTTACTCGCCAAACACGGACAGTTTTAGAGACACGCCTTGTTGATACAAATCATCACTTCAGAGCTCTTCAAGAGGCTATTGATTGGGTCAAATCAAAATTAGTAAGTTATATTGAAATGGGATTAATTCCACCTTAATGTTAAAAATTAATTTTTTTATTCATAACTTCTCAGCTATACATTCCTAACCTATTATATTTGTTTGAAATGTTAATACTCTAATCAGTATATAAATCAAGCAGTGTAGTTTTGGAAAATCATACTATCCAAAATGTAATGACTAATATTGTAATATCCAAATGTTTTCATTAGTATGCTTTAATTTATTTATTTTTATTTTTTCAGAAACAGCTTCAAGAGTTTGAGTTTAGTAGTGATCTCTCTGGTGCAAAGATTGAAATGTCTCATCATCAAAGAGAGCACAGAGAAATCGATAGATTCCAGTCGACTGTAGATCAGTGTGCTTCTGCTAAAGTGAGTCTAATTTAGTGTTTATTATAGTGAGTTTCTTGTTGCTTTTTTGTCTTTCTGTAACAGTAATGAATTTTTTTTCATTTTTGATGCCTTTAAGATTATATTTTCAGTATATTCAAGACGTTTCTTGAACATTCTAGTATTTCAAACAAAGTCGCTTCATTCTTTCAATGAGACTGACAGCCGCCACTTTCCTTTTTATTTAAAATGGTTCTGTAACCAGCCTCAAAGCTTTGTTTTGCACCACGTCCAAGGCATGTTGAGTTTCCTGATGTATTAAGACCTCACTTCCATTCTTCATTGCTGGTCTTATGTATGACTTGTAAGCCCGACCACTATTTCTTCGAAGATTGTTAGTTTCCTAAATCAATAAGTCGTCTGCACAGAGCACTATCTGGACTCCAGGAATAGCTTCTAGTACCTTAATCCTTTGTAGATCATTATCCCCAAGATTTCTTTACTTCACGGTATGGTATTTGGAGTATGAATATAATGTTTTGAGACATTTGATGTTTTATTAATACAGTGGTATTGTTGGTATATCAAGTATGAGCATTTTAAATTATTTCACCTTTTACACTTTTTCATTGCCTGAATACTCTAGCTGAAATAAAAATCACTTATTATGGTTAGATTATAAAAACAAAATAAGGTAGAAAAACAATGTTAACAAAGAAAAATTTATTTGCAAAAATAATTAGGATTTGCTAATGAAACCTACTAAATTTATTCACTAATAATTGCAAAATTATTCACACTTTTAAAATATATATATATAAAACCTGTACTGCTATATAAAGGGTCTTGGATTCAGTACTTTCTAAGAAAGTATTACAGGCCAACAGTTTTACAAGGAGGGGTTCAGGCCAGGATTATGTTCAACTGCCTGGTTTTCCCTTTTAACTAATTATTGAATAAAGAGTACCCAATTTATAGAGGCTGTCATCAGCCAGCCTCAAACCTGTGACTTAAGCATTGGAAGACAGTGTTTACTCACTGAGCTTCCCCACTCTCATATATAGCATTTCCAAGTCAATTTCAACCTTTTCCAAATCAAATTCAACCTTTTCCAAGTCAAATTAAACCTTTTCCATTTCAAATTCAACCTTTTCCAAGTCAAATTCAACCTTTTCCATTTCAAATTCAACTTTCGAATTTTTGTCAATTTTCGATTTTTTTCGAAATGAAGGCCACTTACTATATTATCGAAGGCATAGCTTTTGAAAAATACAAAAAAAAAATTTGATAACGCGGTTGCATATCCATTTATTTTAACATTTTAGATTTTTTCAGCGTGATATTTCTATGTCATTTCCAAGTCAAATTCAACCTTTTCCAAGTCAAATTCAACCTTTTCCATATCAAATTAAACTTTTTCCAAGTAAATTCAACCATTTCCATTTCAAATTAAACCTTTTCCAATTCAAATTCAACCGTTTTCATTTCAAATTAATGTTTTAATTTTTTGTAAATCTTATATTTTTTTTTAAATAATGGCCATCCCCTCTCCCCCTCCAATATGAAAGTCTATTATTATGCTCTCCTAAGTAGAATTTTCACTTACGGATATCGATTTATTGTACCTATTCGGATTTATTAGGGACTTATGCTGTCCTGTACCTAGTTTTGAAAATAACCCCCATTTTAAGATTAAGTGACTGCGTTTCGAATCATTTAAGTTTTTTTGACTTATTCGAAATAAGGGTGTATTTTTATGTTTCCCGATCAGTAAATTTTGAAAATGACATCCATTTTATGTTTACGCCACTGTGTTTTGACTTATTTAAGTTTTTAGAATTTATCCAATATAAAGGTCTTCTTTTATGTTTCTGGAGCCGTAGATTTTGAAAACGACCTCCATTTTAAGATTAGGCCACCGCGTTTCGACTTATTTGAGTTTTTCGGATTTTTTTCATATGAGAATGTATTCTTATGTTTCCGGAGCCGTAGATTTTGAAAACGACCTCCATTTTAAGATTAGGCCACTGCGTTTCGATTTCTTTGAGTTTTTCAGATTTTTTTCATATGAGGATGTATTCTTATGTTTCCGGAGCCGTAGATTTTGAAAACGACCTCCATTTTAAGATTAGGCCACCGCATTTCGATTTCTTTAAGTGTTTCGAATTTTTATCGTAAAAGAGTGTATTCTTATGTTTCCGGAGTCGTAGATTTTGAAAATGACCTCCATTTTAAGATTACGCCACTGCGTTTCGGCTTATTTAAGTTTTTCGAATTTATCCAATTTAAAGATCTACTTTTATGATGCCGGAGCCTTAGTTTTTATAGCGACTTACATTTTAAGATTAGGACACTGTGTTTCGGTTTTTTTAAGTGTTTTTGATTTTTCCTTCGAATAAAAAACAAAATACGAAGGATTAATTTATTTTTCAATAAATAAATAAAAATATCTAATCAAAATAAATAAAATATGTATTGTCTCATTTTTAATTTAATTTTAGTTATCTTTTTATATGTTGTGGTCTCCTGTCACAAAATTATAAGATTTCGAACAATTAGCTGAAAAATCTGAATACGGAAGGTTAAATTTATTACCAGCTGCTTTTCGGCGTTTTAGTTTGTCTTCTGTGGTTAATTTCACTTTAGCTTCATAATATTTACTTATTTATTCATACTCGAAAACATATCGATGAAACTTTGTATTGAAAAAATCCAAAATGAAGCCTAATTATTCGAGATGCAGCGGCTTAATCATAAAATGGAGCTTAAATATTAGATAAATTTAAATATTAAAGATTAGAAAAATTTCAATACGTCTCGGATAACATATAAGTAGAACCTTATACCGAAAAAGTAAAAAAAAAAAAAAAAATTTTATAATCCAAAACACAGTGACATAAACTTGAAATTGGGTCATTTAGAAAATGGGGGAAATTTACTGCTCCAGAAACATAAAATTAGACGTTTATACTTGTTAAATTCTAAAAACTTAAATAAGTTGAAACGCAGTGGCGTAATCATAAAATAGAGGTCATTTTCAGAATCTACGGTTCCGAAAACATAAGAATACACTCTTTTATGATAAAAATTCGAAACAGTTAAAGAAATCGAAACGATTAATCTTAAAAAGGAGGTTATTATCAAAAACTACTCATACGATAACAGACCCACACATCGAAAAATTAAAGATAATTAAATAAATAAAAAAAGGTTGAATTTGAAATGGAAAAGGTTTAATTTGAAATGAAAAAGGTTGAATTTGACTTGGAAAAAGTTTAATTTGATTTGGAAAAGGTTGAATTTGACTTGGAAAAGGTTGAAATTGACTTGGAAATGCTATATCTACATATATTTATATCTGACTATATAACTCAATAGCAGACCAAAAAAAAAAAAAAAAAAAAAATATATATATATATATATATATATATATATATATATATATTGGATCATAAACTAATCTTGTGAAGCCTAATAATAAATGAGCAATAAATTCAATAATTTAATCTATTAAATAGATATGCAGTCAATTTATCTACAGAAGTGCCCTCAAAATTTCAGTCAACAACAATTAAATGATTAAACAAACTTGGCTAACCTGTTACCCAGATCTTATTCATTAACTGCAGAGCAGTTTCCCATGCTCTAGGCCCTCAAGATCTTCTTCAATGGCTTTACAACTCATGGAGAGTCAAGGCCTCCCTCTGTCAGAGCTGCCAGTCTTATCTTTACAAATTTGATTATATTTGTTTTTCTCTATGCAATCAGATCTTATTAAGCTTTTGATTGAAATATGGAGTACATATTTTTAAACTTTTCTTTAATTGTTACTTTCTAATTAAACATTATGATAATTTATGTCTATTTAAAGTAAATAACTTTTCTTTTTTTTTAACTTCTTTAATAATAATTTGGTAATCCTTTTTAATTTTTATTCACAGAGTCAGTTTCATGGAGAGGAACTTTCATTATATACACAACATCTGAGCACCCTTCAAAAAATATATGCTGAACTTCTCTCTCTGTCCAATAAACGCATATCTGAATTTGAAACTTATGTTGATTTCCTTGAATCAATTACAACCCAGTTGGCTTGGCTAAAAGAAAAAGAATCAATAGAAGTTGCACGGGATTGGAGTGATAAAGAAGTTAACATAACAGCAATCCAGCAGTATTATGAAGTAATTATTTATGTTTGATTTATTCTTATTCTACATTGTTAAATTAGTAAGTTTTTGCTTGTCAATAACAATTGGAGTGTAACAATGGAACAGTTGTAATAATTATGACATATTGGCAATAGGTTAATTGTAATTATATAAATTATATATTGGGATTGCTTCTTGAATTCATTTCACAAAAATATTTCTCTTAGAACCATACCTGTTACAATACATAACGTTTTGTATTTTTTTCCATGTTGTGTCATTTGGTAATCCTTTCCTTATTCCTTTATTACTTGGAATGAATTGAGATGCATGCATATAGAGATTTTTATTTATAGTTACTGTTTGGGGCATCAGGCCTTCCCTAATCCTGAAGTAGGGGAAATTTAACCTGGATGCTTTAAAATGATCAGAAGAGGGTGTTCATGTGGAATGTAAAAATAGCAAAAATAAGGTCAACATAAAATTTATATTGATGAATGAAATAAACAGAGTTGGTGGGGGTAACAAAATATACATTTGAATTATTGTGTTAGTAACTATTTATTATTAATGGGCTGGCCGGGTAAATGTAGATCCTGGCTGGTTGAACGGTGATATTGAATGCTCTCATCGAGGGACTGGCTTCTCTGTTATCTTTGAGTGTTACGCTATGTGCTGACATCTATACTGCCTCTTCCTGGCTACTTCACCAGTAGGTGCTTAAAAAGGAGAGATTTAAATGAGGAAACTGAGCGCATGTCGGATATCGGGAGGGATGGTATTCCAGATAGAGACGCCTTGAATTATAAAGGATTTGTCAAACGCAGTAGTTCGGTGAGGAGGTGGACAGAGGTCAGAAGTATGGAATCTAGTGAGACTGGATTGAATGGAATATTTAAATTGTAGGCTGTGGAAAATATAGGAAGGTCGCTGAGTTCTGATGGCTTGGTATAGAAAGGTAGCTAGGAAGTACAGACGGAGGTTGGATGGATAGAGCTTATATGCTTATCTCTTGAGATTCTGAAAACAAAACATATTGCACAGTTCATTAGGCGTTTAAGTTTGGCCTCGAATTCTTCTGAGAGTGCTCTGTACACCAGACTGCCATAGTCGAAGTTGTGAAACACTAAGGAGGAAATCAGGAGTTGTCGGGATTTATATGGAAGGAGATAGGAGACGGTTAAACTATTAGAGATAGTATGACTGGAAATTTAGGAGATAGTTTGATCAAAGGTAATACCAAGGTTTTTTACGGAAGTATGGAATGAGATAGGCGAGTTGTTCAGGAAAATATTGGGGAGTGCCGGTAAGGATTTGAGGAGTGAGGAAGTTCCGATCAGGATGGCTTTTGTCTTTTCTGAGTTTAGAGTAATTCTATTGTGTTTTGTCCTGGCACAAATTCCGTTTATATCTTTCTGTAATTTTTGGATGGCGTCAGAGGATTCGTTCGGATTGAAGAAGAGGTAAATCTGGACATCATCGGCATACAGATGGTATTGACAGTGTAGGATAGTGAATGGAAGGTCATTGATATAGATGGAAAAAAGGGTGGTAGATAAGGAGGAGCCTTGTGGAACACCTCTGGACAAGGGTAAAGATTCTGATGGGGGGTTATTGGGGACTACAACATATTGGGAGTAGCCGGTGAAGAAGGATTGGAACCTATTAAGAGTACTAGTTGAAAAGGAGATATTTTTAAGCTTGGTTAGGAGAATTTTGTGGTCTACTGAGTCCAGACTAATAAGACCAATAATGAGAGAGATCAGACAAACAGCCAACAATTTGGGTATTAGACTTAATTCCCGTAGCATTAATGAGAGACATGTGTTTGGACAGGCATATTAAATATTTTATCTTAAGTTTATAGATTAGTTTATTGTTTGCAGTCAATTTTTTTAATTTATCCATTCGATAAGTAAACTGCATGATTGTGAAATCAATTTATACAAATTTTAAAATTATACATTAATTGTTAACCAGTTCAATAGATACTCAATCTGTCCATCTATTTGTGTTTGCTATTAAATTATCTCATGATATTTTTATTAATACTTGCTTATATAGTTAGAGATATTTAACATTAAAAGTATTAATTGTCATGATTAAAGAAAATATGTCTTTATTAGAACTTAATGGCTGAGCTGGAAAGAGCAGAAGTAGTTGTTCGTTCATTGTTAGAGAGAGGAGAATCCTTACTACTTCAAGGTCATCCTGCATCAAAGGCAATATCAGTTGTTCTTGGAAGTTTACAATCTGCATGGTCACGTGTTCTCCAATTTACACTGGCACTTGAGACACACATTGCTACAACCCGCACAGTGCAGAACTTCTTTAGAGATCTTGAACAGTTACGGGATTGGATACATAGGTTAGTTTATTAAATATTACATAAGAAGTATTTTTTCATTTTAGTTGTTGTATCAAAATACAATAAACCTGAGAATTACTTTTAACTTTTCTTTTTCTTTCCCAACAGCCGTGATGAAATCCTTAATACTACTTATTCAGCATCTGAGTTTTCTTTGGATGAAGGTGAAAGATTATTAAGGGGTATGCAAGAACTTAGAGAAGAATTGAATAGTAGATCTGCTGCCTTATCCCAGATGGCAGAGAGAGCTCAATCTGTTGCCCCCATCAAACAGAGAAGACAACCTGTTGTCAGGCCCATACAAGTTACAGCTGTCTGTGACTACAAATCAGATACGGTACATTTTACTACTTATTATTAATTGTCAGTTAATTTGTAGATATCAATATTTTTATATATATATTTACAAATTTTTTTCAATCGACCTTTGAATATTATATATTAACATAATTATTTAATTGGGAATGAGGTCACTTATTACTTATTCAATAAACTACTTAAATATTCATTGCTTCAATGTTTTTCCACGTTTCGATCCCAGTTTTTTATAAGTTAATAATGGGACCCTCTTCAAAGTTTTAAAATAGAGCCTCAATACCTCAGGCTAGGGACACACTGACAGTATCAGCACATATATTAAGCTACAGACCTTATTCCCAATTAAATTATTATTTTTATGTATATATTTATATACATATATATATAATAATTCTGTACTCATCTTTATTGGCAATATAGAATAGAAAATAGAACTTTATTTTGGGACTAAGTCCCCTTAGAATAACAAAGATGAATTAATACAAAATAAAATACAAATCTGGCCAAAAACTAACTTATAAAAATTCTAACATAATATACATTATTTAAAAAGTAGTATGTAACCACTAAACAAAAAAAAAAAATATATACATATATATAAATACACGCACATATACATACATACACACACTCACATACATATATATACACACATACACGTACATACATATATAAATGAACATACAATCTTCCCCAAATTTACTTATTATTATGATGAAAAAAAAAAAAAAAAGAAAGAAATTACATATCTATATATACATAACTGCACAATTTATAAACAATAGGCTGTCTAATAGAAACATAATTTAATACAAAATGTAATAATATTTACAGTGATTCATACAATAATAAGCAAACACTAAGATAAAATAAAATCTCTGGAGTAATTGTGGTATAAAGGTAAAAAAGGAACTATATATACGTACTTATTCATATTGGTACACAGAGAGACAAAAAGTATAAAATATAAACATATATACATGAAAGAAAAAGCACAACCTCCGGTGAAGAGAAATACAAATAAATAGTAAAAATAATAGTAAAAAATCATTGCTGTTTTATGTTAAAACTTAAACAGTAGGCATAACCATTTACTTCTCACAAGTTCAGTTCATAAAATGAAATTTATGGTTGCGAATCGTCTGTTTGGGATGTGAGGAGATATTGGAAAAGAGGAGGTATTTGAAGGTTGACAGTGAAGAGGCATGACGGATGTTATGTGGCAAAGAATTCCAATAGGTGACAGAACGGGCTAAGAAGGAACGTTCATAGGTTTTTGTCTTGTGTAATGGAATATAGAGGTCAGAATCACGGGATCTCGTTTTTATTGAGTGGACTTAAGGTTTCGGCTGGAGGAGACAGTAGATATAGGAAGGGTGCTGGGAGTTGATCGTTTGATATAAGAAATTTCCAAGGAAGTATAGGTGGCGAGAAGAGGGGAAGAGCCACTTTGACTCTGCATATAGGTGGGACACATGAGACCATCTCGAAATGCCGAAGACAAATCTTAAGGCCAGCCAATGGTTGGAAAAATTAATAAAATTCTTTAAAAAATATATGTGGCAATGAATGAACTTTAGTTACTGGAGGGGGGGAGGGAATTAATTAAAGGATAGGATATGAGTATAAACTTCTTTCGATGCCAGCTTTACATCATTAAGAGAGTTCTGCATAGACTGAAACAAATGATAGTCAGACGGGGTAAAATTTGGGTTACACGGTGGATCATTCAAAACTTCCCAGCCAAGCTCTCTTAATCTTTGTTGGGTCATCAAAGATGTGTGTGATCTAGCGTTGTCTTGATGAAAGACATTTTCCCTATTGATCAATTCTGCCCATTTTCTTCAATAGCCTGCTTTAATCGTACTAGTTGTTCACAGTAGGCAATTGAATTAATGGTTTGGCTAGGTTCGAGAAGCTCATGATAAACGATTCCTTTCCAAACCACCTGTATCACCTTTCTTGCCATCAATCTGGGTTTTGCCACTGCTTGTTAACCTTCTCCGGTGTTTGACCATGCTCTTTTTTTCACATTATTGTCTTACATAGTCCACTTTTCATCACCAATAATCATATTTTTCAACAATGGCTCGATTTCGTTTTGTTTCAGCAGTGATTCACAAATGGAAACTCGATCCATTAAATTTTTCACTGTTAATTCAATTGGAACCCAAGTATCAAGCTTCTTTTGGTATCTTCAAAAGACACTTTTTGTAGATACAAAAGATACTCAAAAGAGCCTTTTGTAAATGTTTCAAAACTGTTTATTTCCATAAAGATGTTGCGAGATGAAATATGTCTGTTTACCTAAATTTTTTAAAGAATTTTATTAATTTTTCCAACCATTGGCTGGCCAGGACGAATTTCATCATTAACATTAAAATTTCTGGCACTAAGACGAGCAAACCAATTATGCCACTGGTGTTCACTTAAGCACTCATCAGTAGGGTCTGGATCTGAAGATCTAAATTTACCAAGAAATTGATAAAAATCAATTTTTAGGTATAAAAAAGATCTACTATTTATTAACAATACTAAATTTTTCCTGTTGGCATTACACACCATGTAGATCTTTTGCCGCCTTAATAAGCCTGCTCCATCTCTGCCTGTCTTGGGCTATTTCTTTCCATTTATCTGCCCGCAGCTTTAATGCATCTTTGTTAATTCTATCTCTCCATTTGCTTTTTGGCCTTCCACGTTGTCTTTTGCCTTCTATTAAGGCATTCATTGTTACGTAGAGGCTTCCAGATGGATTACTAGGAGTTATATGTCCTGCCCTATGTGTTAGTGCTCTTATCCCAGATTGCTCTGGTTAACGTGTGGAGGATTTTCCTCTCAAATCTGTCAACACTTTTTTCTGGTGTGCTGATTAATGTTCAGGTCTCACAGCCATATATTAGAACTGGCTGTATCATAGCACTGTAAACCCTTAATTTGAGATTTTTTGGGATTTTAATACCTTTGAAAGGGTGAAGAAAGCTCTGTTTGCACTAGTTATACGTTGGTCTATTTCTGCCAGTTGGTCATTCATTGAGGCTATTGTGGGAGCCCAGGTAATTGAATTTGTCTACTCTCAGGATTGATTTTCCTTCTACACAGATCCTGTTATTAGGGTGGAATTTTTGGTTTATTATCATATATTTTGTTTCGTCTTCATTTACTTGTAGACCGATGTTCTGCCTTTCTTATCAGAGTCTTAGCTAGTTTTTCAATGTCTTCTTGATTACTTCCAAGGATAGCTATATCATCTGCGTATCCAATGATTTTATGATTCATTCCGATGTGGATCCCTCCAAGACCTTTCCTGTGATGTTCTTATTATCTTCTCCAGGGCTAAGTTGAACAACATCGGTGATTGTCCATCTCCCTGTGGTTAGCCCATTGGAACTTTAAAGGCTTCAGATACTCCTTGTATTAGAACTCTACATTTAGGGTCATTTATACATGCCTTTGTCAATCTCGCCAACCTGACAGGAATTCCCAGTTCAGTCCTGATTTTCTAAAGACAGCTCCTGTCCACAGGATCATAGGCTGCTTTGAAATCGACAAATAGGGTGTGAATGTCCTTAGCTACTTCCTATTGTTTTTTGAGTACTTGTTTTATGATGAAGATCTGGTCTAGCATTCTCCTCCATTTTTTGAATCTAGCTTGGTGGTCACCTATTATATTTTCCTAATGCGGGTATACCCGGTTTAAATGGATATTGATCATTATCTTGTAGGCAACTGCAAGGATAAAGTGCTATGCCTCTTAATTACTTCACTCATACATTGAGCTTTTCTTTAGGATAGGACAGATTAGGTCTGTATTCCAAGCCTCAGGTATCCTTTCCTCTTCCCATATTTTCTGAATTAGTTGTAGTAGCTTGGCTCTTAAGTCGTCTCTCCTATCTTTAAACAGTTCTGATGGTAGGTTGTCTATCCCTGGGGCCTTTCGATAGCTATTTCTACATTCAGTATATCTGGTTTTTCAACCTCTTCTGGGTCAAGGTCCTCAGTGTGGTCCATGTCTTCTTCGTTCGCGGCTTCTCCTTTTTTGGGAAGTTCCTCGAAATCTTCTTTCCATATGTTCAATATCTTTTTTTTAGATGCTGTCAGAATGCCTCCTTTTCCTCCTTTTTCCTCGCATTGGCCTATTTCTCGCTTTATATCCTACCCTTTTGTAATGTCTGCTTAGAATTTGCGTATATATCCAGCCTGCCAGTTGTTCTCAATGGTGTACAATCCTTCTTTGAGGAATTCCTTTTTTGCTGATGTTATAGTTTTGTTTGTCTTTTCTTGACAGCTGTGTACTTCTCCTGAGCAACTTGATCAGTTGTAGTTAGGCAGAGGACTTTCATTTTTCTTCTTTCCTCTACTGCCTTTTCGCATGCTTCTGTGAACCACATCTTAGCTTTTCGTTTCTCCTGAATACCGATCACTTCCTTAGCTGTTTCTTTTAGTCCTTTCTCTATTTCCTCCCAGTGTTGGTCCACCGTGAGGCTATCCGAATCCAAGGTTTCGAATTTATTTTTCAGCTCAAGTTGGAATTTGGTTTTTACTTCAGGATTTTTCAAATTACGGACTTCTTACTTCCTTCTTTCTACTTGATCTCCTGTTTTGTGAATTCGCTTCACTCTCTGACATAGTTTAATTCTAATCAGAGAGTGATCCAAATCATTGTATGCTCCACGATAGCTTCTTACATTTTGTATTGAGCTCTGATGTCTCTTGTCTACCAGCACATGGTCAATTTGGTTTTTCGCTCCTTTGGGGCTAATCCAGGTGTACTAGTGGATATCCTTGTGTAGGAACAGTGTCCTGCTGATGACTAGACCTTTATCACTCCATTGTCTTTGCTATTTTCATGAAGGCTTTGGCCTCCGGTAATGGGCCTGAATTGGGGTTCTTGTCCTATCTTTGCATTGAAGTCATCTATGATTAATTTTATGTGATGCCTATGAACTTGGTCCACAATATTTTCCAACTGATCATAGAAATCATCCTTCACCTCTTCATCTTTATCTTCGGTTGGTGCAT